ATTTTTTAAAATATTATTTTAAATTATAAAAATAAAAATTTGTTTAAAATAATAGAAAAAATTGAATATTTTAAGAATAATAGTGAAAAATAGAGTTATGTTTTGAGTAAAATTACTGTAGTAACTACTTATTTGGAGTTAAAATTTGGTAAAAGGAGTTGATGGATTGGAGATGGCCTTAGCAGCATACAATTTATTATTATTAGTATTTTTTTTTTTGCTAAAATATTTTGTTTGAAAAAAGTTGTATTTAATTTGAGATTCAAATTCAAATCAATATAATTTAGTCCATATTATTTAAATAAAATTATATTACATTTTTTACAAAATATTATACCAAAATACTATTAAAATTAAAACTAAACAAAGCATTTTGGCAATAAAAATTTTCTATTTTGTATGAAATTGATAAAGATACTTTGTACATGAATTCATTGTAAATTAAAATATAATAATAAGTATAACAATGGATTTATTGTAGATTTTTTTTTAGATAATGATTTTTTTTTCAACATATGTTAAAATAAATTTGTGATACTATAACTTAAAAATATTTTATTTTTCTATATATTTTGAAAAAATCATATATAATGTAAACCCTTGGACTACTATTAGTTATTCACTTGTAATAAAATACCTATTATTATTATTATTATTATTATGGTAAATTATATAATATCTTTCATATTTTAATGAAAATACATAAAATATTTTGTGTTCCATTTATATTATGAAATATTTTTATGTTAAATTAAAATATGTATAAAATATATATATATTTTTGGTCCAAAATTGATATTTTATCATAAATGTACACCTAATTATCCAAATTTTATACAAATAAAAACGGTCAAGTATTTTAAATAATATTTTTGAATAAAAAATATTTCATATGCCTCAATACAATAGTCTTGTTTATTATTTTTGTTCGTCAAAAAACAATAGTCTTATTTTCATAAATAATCATATCACTATATAACTACACTTACTCTTCAATTATTATTACACAATTGTCATTATCTTTTTACACTGATACACTCACAAGAGCAAAATATCTTTTACCTATACTTTTTACCCACTATCACTATAATATCAATATTCCTTAGATCTCGTGTCCAACACAACCAAAACTATAGTTCCGAAAAGGAGAAAGTAATAAATAATTTAACAATCCTTTATTTTATAATTTTTTTTGTAAAAATTAATAGCATAGTCTCAAAAAAATATTTAAATAGATTATTGATAAATTATTTGTTTATTTAAATAAAATTTATTGTTTAAGTTATAAAACATGTATAATTAAATGTGAGTTTATAAACAAAATAGTATTAGTTTTGAATAAAGAATGTGTTTGGTGCATATTTTAATTTAATACTCTTTACAGAAATTCTACACCATAAATAAAATATGAAATATTTTGGTATATTTTAATTAAAATACAAGAAAAAATTATACCATTTACCTTCTTTATTACTCCCTCCGTCTCACATAATTTGTCCCTATTTTCTATTTTCGTTCGTCTCATATAACTTGTCATTTCTATTTTTAAAAATATAATTATTCACTTTAATCTCATTTTAAATTTTATAATTTTTTTAATTTTAATTAAACTATTTACTTATCTTAATCTTAATCTATAATTATTTTTACTAATAAAATTCTTAATTATTTACTAATTATACTTTACCTAAATTTTCGTATCTACAGTAATACTATATGGAACGGAGGGAGTATTATTATTATTTATTATTATTATTATTATTAAACCATATTTATATATAATCAGCTGTCTGTCTCTATGTAATTTAATGTCAACAAGTTACCACAGCAACACGCAATTTATATTTGTAATTATTATTGTTAAGTCAACTGTTGGCTGTGAAAATTATTTTGGTTTGTTTAAGTTGTCACGCCTAAATTAGAGTTTTGTAAGGGTCTGTTTGTTTAAGGATTTCAACTTGATTTTTTAATAGTAAATTTTTAAATTAAAATAATTATTTTATTTATAAAATTTTGATTTCAGAATTTTAATTTTGAATAGTAAAATTTTGAATTGAAATAGTTGTTTGATGTGATACAAATATATATGGATGTAATTTTAAATATAAAATTTAATTTTAATGAAATATAATAAATAAATAAATAAAGGTATTAGATTTAATATTTTAAAAAAAATTAAATAGTAAAACCGAAAATCAAATCTCACAAATAAACACACCCATTTAATGTAAAGTAAAGGTCAGTTGGATAGTAATTTTTGAAGACTTTTAAAGTTCTAAATTTTGAAGGTACTAAAAACTAGCATTTATGTAATGTTTTATAAAAAAACTATATATAAATTTGATTTAATAATTTTAAAAAAAAATTAATAATACCAAATTTCTAAAATTATTTGATATAATAATTTTTAATAAAAATAAATAATATAGGGTAAATTTCACAATATAATATGTTTATGCAGTAGCCAATCCAACTAGTGAGGCTAAACTAGCCCTCAAATTTTTCTTTTTAGTGTAAAAAATAAATTTTTTTATATAATTATATTAAATTAAAATTTATAATCATATTCTTCTTTTTTTTCTTTCTGTTATTATTTCAAGAAAATTTAAATAGGCAGCATTGGATCAATTATCATTGTGTTAGTATAAAAAATTGTATAGAATAATAGAATTACTCTGATGACGACTAAGTTAGCAGTTAATTGTAAAATATTCCTAAGTCATATGTTTATCATGCAAATTATTCTTTATTGAATAAAAATAAATATTTTGAAATTTTAATATAATCATTCTACTTATTTTTAAGATTTATATATTTTTATTTTTGTTTGTCTAATTACAATACATATATAGTAACTATCAATTACAATATAAATTACAATACCACTATTTTTACATTTATTTACAATCATATCATTAAATATTGTTACTTTTTAAAAATGACATAAATATTTTTACATAACTAAATACTATCAACTATTGCTAAAGATTATATTAACAAAAATAAATAAAATGGATGGTCTGGTGGTGTACGGGTTAGACTCGTGATCGTAATATCATGGGTTCAAAAGGGTTTTTATGTGCAATTTTTTTTTTTTTTTTTATAAAATATAGGGACGGTCCGCAATTAATCTACTATTAATTTTATCATTTTGATAAATCTAAAATTAATAATGTTACAATGCTATTATCTTTCCATTTAAGACAAATATTGATTTATTCATTCACCTAATTATATTATTTGGAAAAAGTTAATTAATCAGCATCTTTTGATCTATTGGATTAATTTTTAATTGAATAGTTGTTATAACAAAAAGTATTTTATTTGTTTTATGATATTTTTTCAATCAATCCTTTCATCATCTCTAATCTGTTTTTCATTTTTATTTATTTATTTTTTTCATTTTTATATAATTTTCTTAATCAAATTTGATTCAATTTAAAAAAATTAATTAACAAATATCAATTTAATCATATTGTTATACTAATTTTATTTATTTTTACATATGAAAACAACACTTAGTATAAACATAATTAACATATCATATGCATAGAATAAATACATTTTATATTCCCCAAACTCAGATAAAATTATTAATATAATATATTTATACATATACATATAAGAACACATCCTTAGTATATATTTAGCAACACCTCTAAATATAAATACCACGCCGTTAATATTCATTCAACCAACGTTATTTTTTAAAATAATTTAAGAAAACGAATTTATAAATACAAACGTCACATAGTTAATATTCGTTTAGCACTATATAATGAAAATACTTTAAAATATATTCATACAATCTTGTATTTATATACAAATAACACATAATTTAAATTCGATTAACAAGACAAATAAATACAAATATCGTATAATTAACATTCATCTAACACTATTACAGATATAACTTATAAATATATTTGAATATAACTTATAAATATATTTGGATAGTCTTATATTTATATATATAAATAGTAAAGAGTTTCTATTTAATTAGTAGGACATACAAATACAAACATAACATAGTTTACGTTTATTTAATACTATTTGGTAGATATAACTTAGAGTATATTTCAATAATTTTATAACTATATACAAACAAAATACTATAATATATGTTAAGATAATCTCAATTCCTCTACATCTAATTTTGGCATAGTGACAAAAACACTTTTTGCCTCTGTGGTCGTTGGCATTCAAAAACAGCAACTCTGGACCTGCTGGTTAAGTCCAATCATGCAGCCCTTGTGTCCCCTCAACGTTGGTGGCTGCTCAAAGACAAATTGGACATTTCGAATTTGTCTTCTTGTGATCAGAACTGATTTGATACAACATCATTCCTTGGTTAGATCAAAGGGAATTTAATGCATGTCATTTCATGGCTGCTGTGGTGGTATGTTTCATAGTATTAGAGTTTTGGGAAGTGGATAGAGTGATCTTAGAGAGATTGGGTAGTAAGATAATTATTGTGCTTATCCTCTCAACAACTTCCCTTCCACCTCCATGCATTAAGTAAGTGATTTTCATTGTATTTCTGTTGGAGAAGCTTGGAGATCAAAGGAAGACTGGAGTTCTGATCAGGGGAGCATTCGAACTCTGTGCAGCCCAGCTATGACGGTTGTTAGTACGCGTTTGTAACAACTGACGCCCTGGAGGGTAATTAATTTGTAGCGTGGGTTGGTGGAGGTTTGAGTGTTTTGTTATTAATCAGCACTGATTAATGAACACCTCCTGGATTGGTATCCCTCGGATGTAGGATGGTTTTTATCCGAACCGGGTAAACAAATAGCATCTCATTTATTGCTTTGAAATACTTTCATTTACTTCATCGACAAGTGGGTGTCATAACTGTGATATAACTACGCTTCGGGAGGTTGGCCCATTTGGATTTGTGTACGAGGATTTATTGGAGTTGCACTCATTTCCATCCCAACATTTGGTATCAGAGCTGTGTTCTCTAAGTTGCTGAGTAGATTCTCTCACAGTTTGCAAAGATGAGTAAAGAAGGTAGATCTACATCGAGACCTCCACTGTTTGATGGAACAAGTTATCGAAGTTGGAAGAACAAAATGGAAGCATTTCTAATGTTACAAGGTGAAGATGTTTCTGAAGCTGTCGAGTCTGCATGGTCTCATCCCATGAAGACCATTCAAAATGAAGATAATACTGTCACTCTTGTGAAGAAACCAAAAAGAGAATGGACTCTCAATGAAAAGGCTGCTGCAATCGCCAACTCGAAAGCCTTATTTTCGATCTTCAATGCTGTTGATGAAACTCAAGCGAAGCTGATATCAAACTGCAAAGTTGCTAAGGAAGCATGGGATATTCTTGAAAATGCATTTGAAGGGTCTGTGCAGGTTCGAGAATCAAAGCTGGATCATGTTGAAACTCTGTTTGAAGCACTAAAGATGAATGAAGATGAAACAATTGCTGTCTATCACAACCGATTCATGGATGTTGTAAATCAAGCTGAAGCTCTTGGTATGCACTTTGAAGAAAAGAGACTGGTGAGAAAAATGCTTAAAAGTCTCACAAAAAATTTTAGGCCAAAGGTGATTATGCTCGATGAACCGCCAAAGCTGAGACACATGACATTGGATGAACTATATGGTACACTGGTAAGCTATGAAATGAACTATCTTGAAGATGAAGCACCCAAAAGTGTGGCTCTGAGTGCTGAAGACTTGGAGATGATTGAGTCTGATGAAGAAATGGCTCTGCTGAGTCGTAAACTTTCTCGAATGATCAGTGAGAAACGAGCTGCCAAGCTAAAGTTTGGGAAGTTTCAAAACAGGAATAGCTATCAGGGAGGAGGTACATCCAGCTCTCAGCGAAAGTATCCTGAGCAGAAACCTACTGCATACAGCAAACCGAAAGATAGATTTGATGGTGGATTTAAGAAGAAGTTTGTAGTGTCTGCAAAACCTGAGACGGTTCAAGAACCTACCTGTTATGGATGTGGTGGTGTTGGACATATTAAATCTGAGTGCCCAACAGTTAAGAAAAGGGAGAAAAGGGCCTATCAAGCTACCTGGAGTGACAATGAAGATGGTGAATCTGCTGGTGGTGATGAACAGACTGAGAATCATGAAGTTGTTGCATTCATGGCAGATGATGATGATTCCAGTGATGAAAAGACAGAATCCAGTTCTAAAACTACTGATGAGTCAAGAGAACTTGATACTGATGAGTTGATTGAGGCTTATGAGGAAATGGTTGCCGAGCAAAAGAAAGCTGTTGTAAAAAATAAAGAACTTCTGGATACCATTTATCGTTTGGAAGCTCAAAAGGAGAAACTTGAAGATGAACTTGAGAAGTTGACAAAGATCATTGAAGATAAATCTACTGAATCAAAGGAATTGCAGTCAGATAATCTGAAGTTGAAGAATGAAAATGATAGACTTCGGAAAGGGAAAGAAAAATTGGATGAAGTCCTCTCAATTGGTAAACCGTTTGGTGATCACAAAGGATTAGGCTTCTGTGAATCCTCTCAAAGTAGACCAACTACATTTGTGCGAGGTGGTCTGCTTACTGATGTCAAACTTCCAGAAAAGAAATCAACTCAAGTCTGGAAACAGAATTCAAGAAAGAAAAGAAGCAGAATCAGAAACAAAAACCACAGAAAAACTCAGAGTGAGATGACAAAGCTGTCACAATCTACTAACTGTAAGTACTGCATGTATCCAGGCCATTCGGCTGTGAAGTGCTTGAAGCTGGCAAAAGATGTTATCAGTGGGAGACGGATTCAATGGCCTACTGAAGAGCTGAAACAGAACATTAAGGTCAAGTTTGTATGGATACCTAAGGAGACTCAGAAACAGCTCGAGTGTAATGTGATCTTGTCAAGTCAAGAGTCTACCAGAGCTGATCGATGGTACTTTGATAGTGGTTGCTCAAGGCACATGACTAATCAAAAGGGAATTCTGAAGAATTTTGTCGAAGACCGAAGTGGAGAAGTCATTTTCGGAGATGGAGCAAAAGGAAAGATCAGTGGCTATGGTATTCTTGAAAGAGAAGGAATTCCAAGGTTATCAAAAGTCTATTTCGTAGAAGGGCTGAGTACGAATCTGATCAGTATAAGTCAACTATGCGATGATGATCTACATGTGAAGTTCACCAAGGATTCATGTGAAGTTTATGACACTGCACAAAAATGTGTGATGACTGGTATTCGTTCGAAGAACAATTGTTACTTACTGGAATATCCTCAAATGGAAGCACTGATATTGAAGGATGATGAATCGATGCTGTGGCACACCAGATTAGGTCATGTGAATCCACAGAATCTGTTGAGGATCAACAAAATTGGAGCTGTCAGAGGACTACCAAAATTTTCAAAAATTCCAAATACTACTTGTGGTGACTGTGCAAGAGGAAAGCAGAAAAGGGCTGTGCATTCCTCGTTGGAACAACAGTTCAGCAGGAACTGTCTGGAGCTGTTACATATGGATCTCATGGGTCCAGTTGATGTTTGCAGTCTTGGAGGAAAGAAGTATATCCTGGTCTGTGTAGATGATTTTTCGAGATATACTTGGGTCGATTTCTTACGTGAGAAAAGTGATGCGTTTGATGTTTTTGAGAAACTGGGTACGAGACTCATGAATGAGAAGAAATCAAAGATTAACAGATTGAGAACAGATCATGGAAAGGAATTTGAAAATCAAAGATTTGCTGGATTTTGCAATGGATTGGGAATCAGGCATGAATTCTCTGCTCCAAAGACTCCACAACAAAACGGAGTAGTGGTAAGGAAGAATCGAACGTTACAAGAGATGGCTAGATCGATTATGCATGCAAAGGGAGTAGCCAAATATCTATGGGCTGAAGCTGTCAACACAGCTTGCTATGTGATTAATCGAGTTTATCTCAGATCTCACACAGAGAAGACAGCCTATGAAATCTAGACAGGGAAGAAACCAAATGTTTCTTACTTTCATACCTTTGGATGTAAGTGCTATATAATGAAGGACAGAGATCAACTTCATAAGTTTGATACTCGATCAGATGAAGGCATATTCTTGGGATACTCACTGAACTCGAGAGCTTACAGAGTATTCAACAACCGTACCAAGAAAGTGATGGAATCCATGAATGTGATATTCGATGATACCATCTCAGAGAAGAAATCTATTCACTCAAATGATGATGATGATGAAACTGTACCAGATGTTAAGGTGACTCAGAATCCTTCAGAGGTTCAAGTCATTCCTCAGTCCCAAGATGTTCTGCCACAGACTGGTGACAACATTCCTGCAGAAAGTTCTGTAAGATTCGATTGGTCAGAACCTGAATGCTCAACGGATGTAACAACAACCAATCAACAACCTGCTGAAACTGAATCAGATGCTGAAGTGAGGAGACATGGTTCAAGAATTTCACATAATCATCCAATTGATGCAGTTATTGGTGATCCAATGGGTGGTCGACTGACTCAAGGGAAACAGATTGATTTCAAGAATTTGTCTGGGATGAACTGTTTTATTTCTACAGTTGAGCCAAAGACAGTAGACGAGGCCCTCAAGGATGAATACTGGATCAATGCAATGCAGGATAAGTTGAATCAGTTCACAAGAAACAGAGTATGGTATCTGGTTGAAAGACCAACTGATGTGAATGTCATTGGAACTAAGTGGATCTTCAAGAACAAATCTGATGAAAAAGGGAATGTTACCAGAAATAAGGCGAGATTAGTTGCACAAGGGTACACTCAAATTGAAGGGGTTGATTACGATGAAACATTTGCTCCTGTTGCCCGCATTGAAGCAGTGAGATTGCTAGTGTCTGTTGCATGTTCCTTGGGTTTTACTCTCTACCAGATGGACGTCAAGACAGCATTTTTGAATGGATGGATTAAAGAAGAGATCTATGTAGAACAACCAAAAGGATTTGTGGATCATTTCCATCCAGACCATGTCTACAGGTTACGAAAAGCCTTGTATGGATTAAAGCAAGCACCTAGAGCATGGTATGAAAGATTGTCAAATTATCTGCTGGAGAAAGAATACGTTCGAGGATCAACTGATAAGACAATGTTTATCAAGTTGAAGGAAAAAGATTTGATGATTGCACAGGTGTATGTTGATGATATTGTGTTTGGGTCGACTGCAGAATCCTTGAAGAATGAATTTGTGAAATTCATGGAAGCCGAATTCGAAATGAGCATGATCGGTCAGCTAAATTACTTTCTCGGATTGCAGGTTAAACAACATGCAGATGGTATCTTTCTGAGTCAAACCAAGTATGCTCAGAACATGGTGGAGAAGTTTGGACTTCGAGATTCAAAAGGAGTCAGAACTCCTTTGGGACAACAAGAAAAGTTGTCAAAAGATGATGGTGGAAAAACAGTTGATCAGAAACTCTATAGAAGCATAATTGGAAGCCTTCTCTACCTGACTGCAAGTCGTCCAGACATCTCCTTCAATGTTGGTGTATGTGCAAGATTTCAATCTGCTCCTAAGGAATCACATCTTAAGGCAGCAAAGAGAATTCTCAGATATGTCAAAGGAACGACAGAACTAGGATTGTGGTACTCCAACAGGTCTGGTCTTGATCTCATCGGATTCACAGATTCAGATTGGGCTGGATGTTGTGATGACAGGAAGAGCACAACTGGTGGATGCTTTTATATTGGAGATAACATTGTTAGCTGGAGTTCGAAGAAGCAAAATTCCATTGCCTTATCGACTGCCGAAGCTGAATATATAGCTGCTGGAAGTTGCTGTGCTCAGTTGTTGTGGATTCGACAAATGCTGCATGATTATGGTATTGCTCAAGACTCATTCACCCTGTTTTGTGACAATACTAGCGCCATCAATATCTCCAAGAATCCCGTTCAACATGGAAGAACAAAGCACATCGACATACGGTACCATTTTATACGAGACTTGGTGGAAAATGGAGTATGTGATTTAAAGCACATTGGAACAAATGATCAAAAAGCTGATATTCTCACAAAGGCTCTAGATGCTGATCGATTCGAAAAGCTACGAAGGGATTTGGGTATGTGCTCAAGTCCTCCTTGATGATGCATGCTTAAATAAATAAATAAACATCTCCATTTTGTTTGGGAGAAAATTGGAGATTAAAAATAGCCTTCTGAAAATATCAAAAAGAAGAAGGATCATTTTGCGAAAAGAGAAAATCTGCATCAAGGACATTATCGGTATTTTGAGAAGGGTTTTAAGTTTAAAACCCAAAAAGAGATGATTTGACGGCTCTGCGTCACTGCTCTGGCTGTCATCACAGCCTTATAGGAAGTAGTGTTTCAGAGGACATTGAATACATAACTCGAACAGGTCACTCGTCTTCCTCATTTCGCGTGGTTTCATATTTCGCTGAGTACAGTGGTGAGGGTTATCCTTACTCTTCTTCCTACAATTTTCTCTTGGAGAGAACAATGGTGCGAACTCGCTTTGGAAAGGAAACAGGGTCAGGAAGTACAGTTGCTCGAGGACGTGGTCGTGGAAGAAACAGAGGTCGTGGGCGCCGTGGTGGACGAATCAGTTCTTCTCCACCTCCCAGCGAACCAGTTAGTGAGATTCCAACTCAACCTGAAGCAAGCGAGGAAGTTCCGGCTGTGGTCACTGACAGTGTGACTCCGCCCTCTTCTAGGGATCACATTGCTGATGCTGAGGAACTTGTGCAGAAAACCCTTGATGAAACTCAAAATGATAGTCCTGAGGATGATATTCCTGGAGATCAAGCGACTGATCATGCTGAAAAAGAGGACGATGGGAAGGACCAAGAGGTTGGTGAAGCTGATCCTAAAAATGTTGAGGAAGACACCATGATACACTCCGAGGGAGCCCCTGAATCTGAACAACAGAGGATCGAAAAGGGTACTTCACCCCTTCATCCTGAGGAACCAGCGGTTACTCATGAAGGTGCAACTGCTGAACTCTCTTTGTCTCTTTCTGATGAAAGTCTCAACACAATCATAGATAGAACTGTTGACAAACTTTTTTCTGAACGAATGGAGCATGAAAATGCTGTGGTGATGCCTGCACCGGTTGAACCAGAAACCAAGTCTGACGACTCGGACAATGCCCCTCTTGCCACTCTGAGAAAACGCCACTCTGGAAAACAAAAGAAGAAAAGGAAGATTTCTGATGACTTCTCTGGTCCTTCAAAGAAAAGAAAGAAGGTAGTGATTGCCAAGATGAAGCTGAAGCAAAAGAAGTCAAAATCTCGAAAAAGGAAAGCTACACTTCCCCCAGTCTCGGCTGAACAAGCAATGGACGTTACACATTTCGACGATGGAGCAGAGTTGTTTGAATACGATATCTTAGCCAATCGGAAATTTGTTCCTGAGGCTCGGTTTACCGATCCCCTACACAAAGATGTTGGCTTCCTCGCTTTCTTGAGGATGAAAGGATTGCGACGTTGGGCAGTTTGTCTCAAATCCTATTGCCCGAAGCTTGTCCGAGAATTCTATGCCAATCTCACACGAGACGTACTGGAAGAGGAAAGTCCTTGGTTCCACAGGGCTTATGTACGGGGAAAGATGATTGAACTCAGTCCTCAAGTGATCAACAAGTTACTACATCTTCCGTCTGATAATCCTGAAGTGTTTCCCTCTACCTTGATCAAAGAATCCCGAAGAGAAGTGGCACTTCGACTATCTGCATGGAAATCAGATGACTTTGGACGAGCTGGCCTGGGTGCAACTGAACTGACTATGAAATATCAGTGTCTGTTTCGATTTTGTGCAATGAATGTTTTTCCCACCAGTAATGGGACTAACATTGGATATGAGATGGGTAAGTTACTTCTCTGCATTGACAAACTTTGTGCTGACATCAATTTCGGCTTTGTTGTCATCTCCAGAATGATGAAGTATGCCCGCGGCAAGTCATTTGACAAAACGAACCTCCCATATCCGGCCCTCATTACACTGTTACTGAAGCAGAATGGGATCCTTCCTGATCCCACTGAAGATTCAATTCAAACAACATTTTTCAAGCCTAGGTCGAACTTGCACAAGCTTTTCAACGACTTTAAGGAACCTCTCCCAGCCGATCCGTCCGGTCAGCTCTTGGAAGCCCGAAGGATACTTCTTGAAGTTTTGCAGGAACAAGCTTCTATTCACTCCACCTTAGCTGAACATAGGAAGAAAATCATTCGTGCTCTGCATCTTCATCCTCGGTTTGCCTCCGGTCCGGATGAGGAGGAGGAAATCCCTGACTTCCTATAAGCATCCCAGCCTTTTTTGGCATCTGTCCACGCACGGGGGAGAGATGCAGGAGAGAGGGGGGATTGCTGCTGCATTACTGGAAGGAATGGGATCATCGGATCATCAAGAAAGGGGGAGCTCTGTTTGAACTGTGTTTGTAGCATCACTGTGTCATGACTTCTTCACTGCCTGTTGCTGTTTTAGACTCTTGTTTGCTGTTCTTGGACTTTAATTTCTGTAAAGGCTGCATGTAGCCTTCTTTGGATTGATGGCATGTAAACCTAACATTAACTTGCTCTTAATTTGGGTTAATCTACATGTGTGGGAGATTATCTCCTGCATTGTGTGTGTGGTCACATATGCCAAAAAGGGGGAGATTGTTAAGATAATCTCAATTCCTCTACATCTAATTTTGGCATAGTGACAAAAACACTTTTTGCCTCTGTGGTCGTTGGCATTCAAAAACAGCAACTCTGGACCTGCTGGTTAAGTCCAATCATGCAGCCCTTGTGTCCCCTCAACGTTGGTGGCTGCTCAAAGACAAATTGGACATTTCGAATTTGTCTTCTTGTGATCAGAACTGATTTGATACAACATCATTCCTTGGTTAGATCAAAGGAAATTTAATGCATGTCATTTCATGGCTGCTGTGGTGGTATGTTTCATAGTATTAGAGTTTTGGGAAGTGGATAGAGTGATCTTAGAGAGATTGGGTAGTAAGATAATTATTGT